GATAGGTCCTATGTGGGGTGGTTAATTCAAATTATCTAAAATTCGAATTTATTGAAGGGCTGAAAGGAAACTTTGATTAAAGTTCAAATATTAATGAATTAGAGTCCATTTTAGTTAATTTAGTTTGTTGATTCATTTTAAAACTTTAGAATCTCGATGTATTCGCCGGGTCAACTTGGACTCATCCCATTCTCCATACAGGATTGTTCACCGAGTTCCAAGTGTAGACTTTCTCGTAATACCTAAACTCCTTTTTCACTGATTTCAATAATTTTTGAGCTAGGAAGTTGCTTTCTACAACAACTGTAAAAAATAATTGTTTTCTGACAACAACTTTACAATCGCCTTTATAAAAAGTTTAGCTGTCCCAAATGGACCCAGAGTCTATTTGGGACCGCTACAACTTTTTTATAAAATTGATTGTGAAATTGTAATGAGAAAGTAGCAAGAAAACAACACTAATGGTTGCTATCTGAAAAGCAAAAAATTTGGCCCCATCATGATTTTATTTTATTCTATTATAATTTTTGTGGGGATTCCAATGGATCACCGACCAAAATTATTAAACAATAACAGCTCAGAGTGAAAGCTATACATCATGTGAACTACTAAGAGATGATTTAATGGGTCAGTTGTCAAAGCTATTTAATCAAATAGAAAAACATAAGAATTTCATTCTCAACATTCTACCCATTTGAACTATATGGAAAAATTTACATATATACCAAAAAAAATTTATATAATTACATATTTAATATATAAATCTTTAGTATATCTATTAAAATGTATGCTTCATTCTAAATAAATTAATATTGATGATATTTTTTATATGATTTAAATATTTGAAAGTTAAGCAAGTAAATAAAAAATATTTAAGGGTTTGATTATGGTATATTTGAAAATGTCAATGAAGGGTTGATAATTATATTAGAAGTTTAAAATTTGTTTTAGAATTATTTAAGCTTTAATTAATTTAATTTAGATAAAAATTCATGACTCTCTTAAAAAAATTAAAAATTAATTCAACTGAAATTTAACTTAATTATAAATATTTTTATTTATTTATGTAATTGCATGACAGATAAATAGTAAACAAATATACATATTTACATTTAATCATTTATTTGTAAATGTATGTTTATGATAATTTTGCTAAATTTTTATAAAATAATAATCTTGATTAGTGATTTTAAAATATTTTATAAAATTAATAACATTTATTCAAATCAGCTCCAAACTCGCTTGAAATCAATCACTTTCGATTCAACTCTAATTTGTCTCGAGAATATTCAATTTTGAATTTAAGCCAGCTCACTCCAACTTGATTTGACACACCCCGTAATATAGCTGAAAAAATTGTGGTAGGATCTGTTAACCTAATTTCTGGTAAATATGAGTTTTACAGCCTTTGGATTTACTTTGAGATTGGTGCGATACAAATTATTTTTGCATTTCACTCATCCTAAAGAATATCCGAAGATTTTAAATCTTATTATCATTATTTTTTATCAAAATACAACAACAATAACAATAAGTCCTTATCCGACTATGTGGGATTTGTCTCATAAAATCATAATAGATTTTTTTAATATATTTAAGACCACCTTAATTAATTACTAGTAAAAAGCCAAAAAAACCAGCAGTTAAAATCAGATTAGAAATGCAAAGAGGTCCTATTGAAAAGCATTAATTATTTTGATAAATTATAAGAAAAAGTTAAGATTAGGTTAATATAAAATGATCAAATTGCATGGAGCTCCTTTTGAAAAACTTTTATTATTTTGATAAATTAATGGTGAGGTTGAATGTGTGGATCCTTGTCATTATCATACACCAAGAAAGCGACATGAAAGAGGTTTTCTATATTTAGATTTTTTTATTTTATTGAAAAAATATTATGTAAGCAAGTCCCTATTAAATGAATGATTATGATGAGTTTTAAAGGTCTTGGATCTCCTTTGAGATGAGTGTAATATATAATTAATGTAAATTGCACTAATTTCAAAGCACATTCAAGAATTTTAAATTCAATCTTGATAACTAATTTGGTAAGGATATACAACAAAATTTAAAAAAAAAAAATAAAAAAAAAAAGCATAGTTTATTATTTCACAAGTAAAAAAAGCTAGTGACCTTAGAGAAAAATCAGCTTGTATATTTTGAGGGAATTTTGATTAGGGAAAAAAATATTTTACGATTGTTTTGATGCAAAATTTATCAGGATGAACATCAAAGGCTTGGATTTGCGCTGAGATTAATATAATTCGTGATCTTAGTGCAAATTCAAGGCCTTTGAAGCAAGGGCGGAACCCCTTATGGCTAAGGGGGGGCAATTGCCCCCCCCCCCCCCCTAAAAAATTTGTAATTTTGCTTAAAGCATAGGAAATTCAAAGTTTCAATTATTATTACCATTTAATTTGAGAGCTATATTTGTTCTAATTTCAAAATTAGCTATAGGATTGAGATGGGCAACAACATTAAATATAAATGGGCCATAGGTTTTATGATTGGCCCCATTTAATGTTCATATCACCATCACTATTTGTTTTAATTTTAGAATATAGTTTGGGATTAGACCTTTAGTGAAGATTGGAAGGTATGATGGTCAAATTCATTTTATAATTATTATTTTTTTTTTTTTTGGCTCTTTGATATTAAATGATGTGTTATAGATCAAGGAAATCAACATCAAAATTCTATTTTTTTTTTAATAAGTTATATAGTTATTTGATTTAGCATTTAAGATTCATGAGAATAAAAAAATCTTAAAATTATTAATTCTTAGTTATTGAATTCAGTATTGGGTTATAAGTTATAAACTTTAAAAGCAATCGAGGAAGGGTGGAAGGACGACTAGTAAAACATTGTCACTAAAAGATCAACCTATGGTAGGGCTGTAAGTGAGCTGAGTTGACACACGAGCCAACTCGAACTTTACCTGTTAACGAGCTCAAAAGTATAGCTTATTCAAACACAAGTTAGATCTCAAGCTTATACTCGAGCTCCTGTATCATACTATCTCAAACTCAGATACCACACAACTCTCCTTGGCCTATTGGTTGAGAGCTTAGGCTTCCAACTAAGAGGTCCAGGTGTTGGTGAGTTTGCCTTAAATGACCTAAATGGCCCAAAAAAAAAAAAAAAAAAAACTCAGATACCAACTTAGCTTAGCTCCTAAGCTTTTCGAGCATCTCAATTAACTTCAAAAATAATTAAAAATAAATTTTAAATTAACATTAAATAATATAGTTTAAACTTTTTAAATTATTTCTATATTAAAAGTATAAAAAATTAAATTTTAATTTTAATACAACTCGGTTATTAAGTCAAGCACATGCTTTCTAAATGAGCTCAGCCTAAATTTTTTTAATGAGTGGAGTTTGATCTAAGTAAATGAGCACAAGTCGAGCTCAATTAGAATCAAACAAGCTCGATTAATCAAATACTCGACTCGATTTAACCTGTTTACATCCCTTACCTATGTTGTATGTTAATTCCAATCATAAGAAAAAGCATCTTTATGTCTTCTCAATCAATCATAATTGTTGCATGCCGGAACATTCGCAATGGTAGAGAAATATAAGTTTAGTGTTCTTCTAGCTTTGTGCGAAGATCCAACACGCACATATATAAGAGAGGGGTCCAAGACTCATAAGAGACACCAAAATTTTTACATGAAAAATCCTATAAAAAGGAAAAAACCACAGGATCAGGCCCAGCTAAAATGATTATACTAGTGTTTGTAATCAATTACAAATGATGCCCTTCCTCGAAAGAAGACCTTGGTTCAATGTATCAAATATACATCATAAAGAGTACACTACATGGTGAGTTGAAAGAATCCAACAATATGAGAGATGTTCTCAAAAGAATGTTAGCCTGTTCATCTGGTCTGTAGAACTGTAGTCGGACGACTGAGGTAGAGGGGACCGTCATCGAATGACAGAAGTAGAGGAGATTGTTGTCAGGTGACAGAGATCAAAGAGATCGTAGTCAACGGGCGACGATGGTTGGGGGAACTATAATCGATGGGCAACAGAGGTCAAAGGGCCTGTAGTCGAGCAACAATGGTCGAAGGGACGATAGTTAGCGAGTGACGGTGGTCGAAGGGACCGTAGTCGGCAAACGATAGAGGTTGAAGGGACTATAATTGGAGGCAACCATGATCGAAGGGATCATAGTCAGCAATCAACAATAGACAATAGTGGTCGAATAAAGGCACGGCGATGGCTGCTAGACAAAGGCCCTACAGTGATGGTCAGTCAGAAAAACCAATAGCAACAGCTTAGTGGCAAGGGTTAGTCGACAGTGGTGTTCAGGTGGAGCTCCATGATGCTTCCTCTTATCAAGTCGCTCAATTTGACTACAAAAATGCAATATTTAAATATCATTTGGTCAACGAATCAATACTTTGAAGCTTCTAAAGAAGCTTAAACCCCTTGATTTAATCCCATTTAAACTCTGATTGAACCAATTATAACTTCATTAACTTTATCATATTAATATAAGTTTTCTAAAATTAGAGTACGGATGGTCCCAAATTTAATTTCAAAAGTTTCCAATTTAGTTATACCATGAGATTCGTGCATGGTCAAGATGATTTTTTGATAGCATATCAATAACATATATTTTAAAAAATAATAAATAAATCTACCCTCTTTATAAAATTATTATTCATCAAAATAAATATTATCAAATTTATAAATGTCAAATCAACACAATTTCATGCATACCTCCAAATCTTAACAATTTACAAACCTAACCCTCTTATACATTCATTTACAGCAAGTCAAAATATTTCGCCTATTATACAGTCAGTACTGCTACAGTAAAAAAAGAAGCAATGAGCATAGCAATTGTTGTTGAAGCAAATGCAAGAAAGATAAATTACTACATAACAATAAAATCCTAAGCTACTTCTCATTCTGAAGTACCTTACAATACAGAATGATTTAACATCTGAAGCAATTATTGATTTACTATTAACTTTGTAAGAAAAATCAAATGAATTTAATAGCTGCTACTAACCAATTTCAATGCTACATAAATAACAAGTATCAATAGAACAGATTTGTGTCAGCAAATCTCAATAATTTGAATCGGTAGTGAAGCTACCAGTTTCTACTTTGAGGCCTGATAGTTTGGATCAATTATAAAATCAACAAATATCTTCCATCCTTGTATATTTCCCGAAAAAGCTATATATATCAACATTTTCCTCATGACAAATTATCAGTAAGGTGTATTCTGTGTTCTCTCTTGAGTTGTACTTTCAGCTTCTTACCACCTAACTGGTAGCCATTCATCACATTAATGGCATCTTGTGCAGCTGATGGTGAATCAAAGCTTACAAAACCTACCAAAAGAAGGTTCAATATGTTAAATTGAAGAAATGAGGATTTACAAGAACACTCGTAAAATCTTATCTATTTACATATCTAAAACCTAAATCCCCCTTCAAAATTTACATATTATATTATCTATTTGCATATCCTAAAAATAAATATAAATATTAAATTGTTAGATATGAAAATACATAAGAATATAGTGGTATGTATGTAAATCCCCCTTCAAAATTTGGTCCTGCAGAAGAAATGGAAGTATAGGTTGCATACCGAAGCATTTACTAAAACCAGTTGCTTTGTCAAGGAAGACTTTTGCACTTAAAACTCTACCAAATCCTTGAAAAGCATCTGAAAGCTCTTGATCTCCATATTCTTGTGGAATATGATAAATAAACAAATTAGCTCCAGGAGGACCTGCTTATTATTAAAAAGAAAGTAAAATGTCTACCAAAGAAAAATGATAAACTGTTTTGTGGCTATGTCAAAGAAACAATAACATAGGAAATAAATTATATTTGACCTTCAATCTGACCCACAGAACTAGTACTAGTAATTGAAGCATGTATTAAATTATTGTTCACATGGGAGTTGCCCGAAGGCCTGGGGCTCATCATGCTTCCTTGGTAGGCCAGAGGATATTGAAGACCATGAACTCTCGGATAATCTGGCCCCGGATATCCAGAGCCCACATAACCAGCAGATTGCATGGTCGCAAAATTTCTAGGCCTTGTAAACATGGACAAATCATGGCTTATCCCACGAAATGCATTTTCTACATAAGCAGCTTCATTCTGCAAGGAAGCTAAAGGGTACTGTACAAGACCATAAGTTCCTGAACCCTATAAGAATAACAAAAAAAATGAAGGGTTATAATTTAATTCAAGGGCATTCGACGATCATGCAACTATGAATGTCAACTCAAATAAATATGTCACATGGATAGACACAATAAATGTATCTAGTAGTAACAACGCATCACAAGAACACACAAGTTTTCACAATGTTTAAAGATCAAATACTTAAACTTCTAATTGCAAGCACAGTGAAAAGACCAATAACAAGTAGTAATTGAAGATGTATGCATACACACAACATACAGACACAAAAAAATCAATCAAAGTCATACATAGATATAAAGAACAAGCACAACAACGAGCCTTACAAAAATGCATTAAGAGCCTTGCAAAAATGCATGAAAAGAAATGCAGATGGTGTTATTGGGCCCACTATATAGGAATGAATTGGCTTTGATGTTAGGGGCCCACATGTTTAACTTTAAAAGAATTATATTTTACTTTTTTTAAAATAATTTCATATGCAACATATTTTTTAATATTTTTAAAAATATTATCTTTATTCATGTTTCTATTTATAGTACTATCACTCAAATCATAAAGAGCACAACAAAACTATAACTCATATTGGTTTGTAGAATGTTGTTTGGGACAACTTTTTTACTGTTTTATGAAGTATTTTTTTAGTACAAAAAATGTTTAAATTTGAAATTTTTGTACTAAATTTTTTTTTCATAAAGCAATAAGAAAGTTGTCCCAAACAATGCCTAAGTGCAAAGGTGGCAAATTTGTAATTTTGCTACCAGCTTAGGAAATTCAAAGTTACAATTATTATTACCATTTATTTTGAGAGCAATATTTGTTCTAATTTCAAAAAAAACTATAGGATTAAAATGAGCAACAACAAAAAATACAAATGGGCCATAAGTTTTATGATCACCATTACTATTTTTTTTTTTTAGAATATAGTTTGGGATTAGTCCTTTAGTGAAGATTGGATAGGTAGGTATGATGGTCAAAATCATTTCATAATTGTATTTTTTTTATTTGACTCTTTGATATTAAATGATGCATTATAAATCAAAGAAATCACCATAAGTTCTATAGTTATTTGATTTAGTATTTAAGATTCATGAGAAAAAAATCCTTAAAATTATTAAATCTTAGTTATTTAATTCAGTATTGGGTTAGAAGTTATAACATTTAAAAGCATGAGGAAGGGTGGAAGGGCAACTAGTAAAACTTTGTCACTAGCTAAAAGATTAACTTATGCTAGGGGTGTAAGTGTGCTAAGTTGACAATGAGCTAACTCGAACTCTACTTGTTAACGAGCTCAAAAGTAAAGCTTATTCAAGCACAAGTTAGAGCTCAAGCTTATAGCTTGTATATTACATTGTGAGAGTTGAAAGAATCTAACAATATGAGAGCTATTCTCAAAAGAATGTTAGCATATTCATTTGGTCAGTAGAACTGTAATAGGGCGACTGAGGTAGAAGGGACCATTATCGAACGACAGAAGTAGAGGAGATCGTTCTTGGGTGAGAGAGATCGAAGGGATCGTAGTCGGCGGGCGACAGTGGTCAGGGGACTGTAGTCAGGCTACAATGGTCGAATGGACCACAATTGGCGAGCAACGGTTGCCAGAGGGACCGTAGTCGACTTATAATGGAGGTTAGAGGGACCGTAATTGAAGTGAAATGATGGTCAGAGTGATCATAGTCGACAGGCAACGACAAGTAGCAGTGGTCGAATGAAGGTGCGGCGATGGCTGCTAAACAGAGGCCCTATGGTGATGCTTAGCCAAAAAAACCAGTAGCGGCGTCTTTGTGACAAGGGTTAGTTGGCGTTCGTGTTAGGGTGGAGCTTAATGATACTTCAAGCCTCATAGCTCTCTTGAGCCTCTAGCCCAAGGTCTAGAACACACAAGTTTCCAAAATGTTTAAAGATTAAATACTCAAACTTCTAATTGCAAGCACAGTGCAAATAAAAAGAAACACAGCTCTACAAGATTTCAACCATAGTAGTAATTGAAGATGTATGCATACACGCAACATACATACACAAAAAAAAATTAATCAAAGCCATACATAGATATAAAGAACAAACACAACAGCGAGCCTTGCAAAAATGTTTGAAGAGAAGTGCAGCTAACCGTCCCATAAAAACTTGTTAGGAAACCAGCAAGACAAGAATATTACCTGGTAGCCAAAACCATTGTATGGTGAGATATAGCCCATTGGTAATGCACCATACATTGAAGGTTGCTGCCAGGAATTGGTATGAGACGCACCAGAGGCTTTAGATTGAGCTTTATGAGCTCTTCGGGCTAGCCTCTCTTTTTCAGTATCAGCCCACTTGACAACCAACGGTATATTTGATCCCTATAAGAATGAAAAAACATAACATGTAAATGTAATCTCAAATTTACAATTCCAAATTTAAATAACAATTTTTTTTTCTAAAACGTATCACCAAATGCACTTCCACACATACAAGAGAGAGAGAGAGAGAGGTATCTTGTAGACTTTCTTGGTAGTGCAGTAAAAGTTGACCACCATGCGAAATTTTGTGGATTGGGAAATTGAGAGAAGTTCAAGAGAGAACACAAATATCTAGTCCAATATACAAAATTTCCGAACTATAAAAACACATGACTAAAATGCCGGTAATGTAAGTGCCTAAATTGCTTCCAGCCAGTGCTATAACTTTTAAACACAATGCTCCAAGTTTAAACCTAAGATTATTCAAATGGAAAATCCGTCACAAATAAGATTAAAATAAAATCAAATTTCATCATTTAAATTAAAAAAATAAAGAACCAGTTTAGCTCATCTAGACTTGGACCCATTCTTCATTCTTGATTTGGGCTCATTTGCTACAACAACTTTACTTTTCTTGTTGCCCTCAATCACATTAACCATTTCATTCTGCCATTTGCAAAGATTTTCAACATCAACCAAGAGTTCTATTTCCCTTTGACTTGCCAACCCTGATGTTCCACTTTTTATTGAATTTGTTTTTCCTTTCAACAATATAATACTATAACGGCTTCAATCTGACCTCATTTGGGTAATGGGAGTGGCTATATTATACATTGTCATGCGTAACCTCTAAAGCCATAACAAGTACTCCCTATTGTATAGGGGTATCTAAAAAACTTGATGTTTCTAGAAATACTTCCAAGCTAAAAGCATTTCAAGGACAATAAATCTCTAATGAAAAAACGAAGTTACTTATACACGATAATAAATCTTATGAAAATTTTCTTGAATAATTGAAGTGGTCTTCAGGAACTATAAGAAATTTGTGACGGGAGTGATTTTCAAGATAGTAATGAAGTTTTAGGATGAAATATGAACCGAGTATGAAATGATGTAAGTGATAACTATAAGAAAAAATGTTAAGAATGCTCCAAAAGGTTGTGATTAACTATGTGAAATACAAAAAATGTTTACACATGATCATCATTATAGTATGTTACCAATTATTTGGGGTGGCTTTATAAATCTATCTGACCATTTATTCCGATTTAGAGTTTTATATGTGAATATCTGTGTCATTTATGTGCTAGAATAAGTAAGTTGCTAAGCATACTAAAAGCAATATTTTTGCCGCTTATATCATAAATATTAAAAATAGAGATGATCGTGTGTTAGAGCATATTCTTCTAAAAATCTGTGCAATAAATGCTCAAACCTCCATATCATACAAAATTATTTGAAATTAGAACAATGCACATATTATTGAATTTTTTGTATGATATGAATATTAGTTCAACTTTTAATGTTGAGGATATAGCCATCTTGAAGTGCAATTACATGTACTTCTTAATGGTGTATCTTCTAATGGGATTATTGTCAGAAGTTGTTAAATCTTTTCTAAAACCAACTTTAGCATCATAAAAAATACTAAATAATCATTAAAAAAGATTCCATGAACTTTTTTAGAAAATAGATGCACATTTTTTATTGCCATGAACATTTATCTTCAAATGATTCCATATTAGCATATAAGGAACTTTAACAAGTCTCAAAAATTTTCTGACGTAACAACCGTCAGTAATACTCTCCAAAGGAAAGTTTAATCTACTTTTGCAAAAAAGAAGAGGATCATCCCCAGTTTATATAGTATAATTGCAATATTAGTTCCATTTTTTTCAACTTTATCTTTGATCATATAGATCATAGTATATTTCATTTCATGAACTGAGGATGGTTTATTAATTATTTTGATATTTTGTTCCCATATCTTGATTAGCTCGGCTCTTTTAAATAATTTTAAGGGTTCTTTCTTACAAAAAAACATAAATTAGTGAAGAAATCATATGAGCAATTATTGACTATGCAAAATGCATTATTCAGTCATTTTCTCCCTGTTACTTTAACTTATTGTTACTGTAACTAATTCTCATGATTATCTCGCATCTTCATCTATCTCCCACTTCCTCGATATTATCAGATGTTCTCTCTCTAACAAACTCTCTCTATTCTAATTTCATCTCTCTCAAATATTATTTCTCTCTAGTCCCATCCCTTTCTTACATTGATCTATCCCCCTTCTATTATTTCTTTCATCTCAACTCTTTCCATTAATCTATCCTTCACTCATCCCTCTCTTAACACACTTCCCTTGCACCCTCTATCTCCCCCAATCAACTTTCATTCTCTATAACCTTTACCTACCGCATCACAATCAATCTCTCTATAGCTCTCTCCAATTATCCTTTTATACACCGCATCACATTACCTACTGCATCACAATCAATCTCTCTATAGCTCTCTCCAATTATCCTTTTATACACCGCATCACAGCAAAATTCTAAACAAGATCCATCAATCATTGATTAAACACGGCTTTTTCACTATTCTTAAGAATCAATCTCTCTATAGCTCGCTCCTATTATCCTTTTATAGACGGCTATTTCACTATTCTTAAGAATCTTATCATCTTTGTTTTTTAAAGGCCGTTCTCTTATAAACTTTATTTTAAATTCCATCCATTCAATTAATTTGAAAATAATCTCTTACTAGGATGATGCTACCAACATACACTAAGTTAAATCTCCTTTTGAATGTGTTGTATTGCCAGTTCATCTAAGACCATAAAAAAATTAAAAAAAAAAATTGGATAAGAATATCCTGGCCAGAATTTTCTCCTATGAAGATATGAACTTAATGTTGATCCTTACTATAATTCTAAGGTGATTGGAACTTTCTAATCACTCCTAAATCTATTCTAATTAGTCATTACACCATCACAAGTATATGGGATAGCTTCAACAAAATGTAATTCTATGTTATTAGAATTTTTTAATCACACTTATAACTACTCTAACCTGCCCCATCACAACTATTTATGATAGCTTCAACAAATCCTTTATGTAAATTTTCTTGGTGCCAACGAGATAAATTGTCATAGGACTCAATCATATTACCTTTTAAAATCAATAAAAGATTACATGAATATTCTACCTCATATTTTTACTTATTACCATAAAGCTATCATCGCCAATAGTCTTATCCTAACTATTTGGGACCGATGTTATGAATCCTCATTTTTTAATTGTTCCTATTGAGCATCGTCTGAGTTGATAAACATGCTATTATTTGCAAATCATTTAAATAACGTTAATATATAACCTTACATCTACTCATTTTCTTATTTCATCTGATTACACTAATTTTATCAACCCATCTAATAAGTATATTTTCTAAGCTTCATTGCACATATTCATATTCATTCTTTTATATCAACATGAATTTTCTTATCGTTTAGTTTATCATTTGATCCCATAATTCATTCCAAAACTTGTAACTTGATTTTACTAAATATATATCACAATTATGTACACTATCTATCATTAAATTTGAAACTAAAAATATATTTCTGTAATCATTTAGCATCCTCATATTCAGCAAGTTTTTGTTTAAAGATATGTCAACAATACCATTCAAATCTCTCTCTTGACTCTCCAAGTAGATAAGCTTTAAATTTATGGTTCATCTAATAAAAGCTTAGTCCATTTCCCTTCTTTCCAAATAATATATATGTAGAATACTTAATAATTTTCTTAATTTTTCTCTTCCATCCTTACGAAATTTCTCGCTTAGTAATTATTACAAGATGATTGATAAGACAAATTTCAAAAGACCCGCAATGCTTAAAAGGTTCGCAAAAACACATAATCATCATAACATGGTTAGAAAGAGATATAGCAAATAATGTAATATTTACAGGTGGAAGGCAAGAAAGAGTTAAATAATAATTATCATTGTGATCATTTTGTATGACCAATGACTCCTATTCACCTGCTTAGCCACTCATACATAATGCACAGAGCCCACCTGCTGCCTACTATTCATATAATTAATAAAACTCCAAAAATTAAGTTAAACCAAAGGAAGAACTTTTTTTTTTTTTTTTGCATTTCACTAAAGAAACCAGATATATAATCCTTGCTTCCCAAGGATAAGCTATATGTCTCTCTGTGGGGAAGTGAATATAAATAAGTAGTTTAAAACAGGGGGGTAAGATAGCGAGAAAAGGGAAATAAAGAGAAATAGGTGTAAATTTAAAGTAACAGAAAACACATTTTTTAGTTGCCTGAAGCCTTATAAAAGGCAGCAATCCAGGCATGCAATATAAATTACCAACTGAAAATGTTAGCCAGAGTCTATGCCAAGGTGCAGAATATGGACAGCATAAATTAGGGGATTTTCAACGCCATAGCATAAGAAACTTCAGAAAAAAAGTCCATTTTTAAGCAACAAATGAAACTTTACGTGTTTACCTCATCTAATTCATTAGGAACCATATTGAGCATATCAGAAACGGTTCTAACATGCCAGTTTTGTGTTTATAAGGCTAAAGTGAATTTCTTATTAAGGAAACAAATCATTGTCTCCTATAAATAGATTTAACTAAAGAACCTGGTATATCCCTTCATGTAGTGGAATTCTTTGTGACAAGCAAATCATTTCTTGTGATGCAGGAAGCAGGAAATACTTATAAATTTGAATATGTAGACAGGAAATATATTTGCATAAATACATACATTCATCTTATGCTTCCCATTTAGAGCGTCAAGAGCTGCAAGAGCTTGTTCTTTGGTCTCATACTTCAAAAAGGCACAACCTGCTACATGTAATGAATGTAAGGGAGTAAGCCACACTTGCTGCACATAGGTGGGACAGAAGAAAAATACTAAAGCAATTTGTTAAGGAGCAAACCATACCTTTGCTTGTTTGTGGAGAACCTCGAAGGATATGCAGTTCCATAATATTACCATAATTGGAAAACAAAGTACTAATTTCTGCATCTGTAACATTCTTTGGAAGCATGCCAATGAAAAGCTTACGTTCTGTGTAGAAGGATCATTAGATAAATCAGGAGATGAATCAGAACAGAACTATCATTGACATTACATAATGAATTTAGATGTTTAAGATACAAGTGGATGTTATGTTGCGCAAATTTAACCCCGAGGAAATAAAAAAGACGGGTAAGTTATAATCATAATAGTTAAAATAACACTACAGGGCGATATACCCTACCAAGTCTTTCCAACTCTCCGTCAGCATACTTCACTTGCAAAGGACTAGAAGCCTGAATCAAAAAAAGAAAATGCATTACAGTTTACTCAAAACTCAGACAAGGAAAACCGTTAATAAACTTGTAAGTTCCAGTTGACACACAAAGTATAGGAAGTAGTGCTGGGAAATAATGCTCATTGTACACAATAAGCAAAGAAACTCAAAAATAGTAGCATTGTCAAAAACGAAGGCCACTGAATGTACATAAATCACAGAAATTAATTAGAGAAAGAAAAAAGATGACAGTAAAGAAAACAGAAAAAGATATGAAGCTCAATTTTTCCTTGCTCATGTAAGAAGTTCTATTTGGTATATATGATATAAATAGAATTTATATATATATATATATATAAAGAGAGAGAGAGAGAGAGAGAGAGAGAGAGAATTGTATCATGGGAATTAGACAGCTAGTAGTAGTTACGAATCATTGCAGCCTGATTGAGACTATAAAGATGCACCAGTTAAGGGAAAAAAAACATTTTGTATGATATATACGTATAGTGTATGTACACGATGCTCAATTAATATAAAGTATAGGAATAAGTTCAGAAACCATGAAAGAATAGCAAAATTGTGGAATCTATTCAAAAGCAAACTAACTAGAATTCCAAAACTATTTTGTTAAATTATAATAGATTTTAATAAAATGTTTGCAGAAAAAGATTAAAACTAAAGTTAGAATGAGCAGTAAACTGCCATAGATGATACAACAACAAATCACAAAGAATAAATGACAAACAAGCAGAGTGAGATTCCCCACTTACTATGGTTATACTATTATTTCATGATCTAAACTAAACCTATTTTGCCAATATAAGTGGCTAAAGCGATCTCTCTCATGACATGTCCAAAAGCCTAAAAGTGAATGACAAATTAAGTCAAGGATAAAAAAAGAAAAATTATAAATATGTTGATATGATCCTAAACCGGCAGGTTGACATTTGATATCCTTGGAAACACAAAGTCAAGCTTCATATTAAAAAAAAAAAAATCAAGCTTCATATAGGCCTATGCGAGATCACAGCTCATATAAATTAAGTGAAACTACAACAGAGAATACATCTGAGTTTTAAATTAAGGATGGCCTCATTGCATTCCAAGTTCTGGAAAGTTACTAGTTTTTAGCAAAAAAAAAACATTACAAATGAGACTATTATTGACGCAGTAAAAGTCAAAGTAAGAAATTAGCCACTGAACTCATTCAAGAAAACTTCAATCATCAAAATTTGCAGAGGATATTATAGCAAATTATCTAGCACAAATAACAATAGACAAACCAGGAAAAGGTAAAGCCAATAGTACATCCAAAATAAAATTGTGGAGTTTTCTCCTTTTTAAGGGAACTTTGACGCTCCACAGTTCCTTTAAAAATATTGCACTAGTAGTTAAGTTTACGAAGTGTTACTTGCAAAAAAGACAAACAGAAATCACAAGCACTTCTCCATAAGCATCAAAGCTACAATTTTTGAGAGGTTACATGTGATGAAACACAAGTTGCTAAACAAATATTAAGCTTCTATTAAGGAAGAGTCTTTTGCAGCTTATTAAGATACATCCCAAATAAAAAAAATTAGCATGCATAAACACTAGTTTGGTAAATAAGAATTTGAGAAGCAAACTTAAATAATTCAGCATGCTATATAAGTATATTTTTAAAAAGATACAAACTTTCTACAGCTCTTTTTAAAAAAAGAACAAACTACTTCACTCAAGATCATTATTTTAGGCATCACCAAAGAAATGTCTTCGTTTCTACCAATCCAAAATTGCTGAAAAAAAGCACTGGCCAATCAAGGCAGTTTAGCCGGGTAGAAAATACAAATTCACTGGCAAAACAACAATAAATAGGATTGCAATCATAATGTGAGTAATGTAAGCATTGCTAGGTCAAAAAGAATGCAGAAACAGAATTACATGGAGAAATAAGTTTGGAATTTGCACAGAAAAAATCCAAGCGTTGTGATGAACAATGCCACATAGCAACAAATAGAAAACCATTAGCAATCATGAGAAAGTACTATCAATGAGTCAAAGAACATTCCATTTCGTAATTCGTCATAATCTAGTAGATATTCTTTTACTCATGTCCTTCAAAACAATTTTCATAGTTTCGTTTGACTTCCTTAAAGTAGAACATTTAAAACGGTTAGCACAGTTGAACAAAATAACTAACCTTCTAAATTAAAACTATGTTTTGCAAAGATAAAGCTTTCCAAAACAAAAATTTTCAATGAAATAGTTCCTAGCCCTAACTGAACACCCACGCATCAAAACTGCAACCCAATAAAGTTTCAAACTCTCCTAACGATATTCCAATTACGCAGAAAAAATTCGCAGAACCTTCCAACGCAACCAACTGCTCATTCCAATGTCGGAACTAGCATAAGAAATCAGACGGTTTAACGCACTTTAAAGTCTGATCCATGCCCTCACTAACACCAAAAGCAAAAAAGATCTGACAGTCAAACCAGCCATACCTACCGGCATTTCCGGTCACAAAGCCCAATTGAAACAAGCCAAATAATAAAAATTTAATCAAGAGCCGCGAGCTCACCCCAGGAAGCGTTCTCTTATTATGGCAGGCACTGACCGCCTTGTCCGCCTCCTGCCTCGACGGGCAGATCAAGAAGCAGCATCCTGCAAGGAACCACATAAAACTATCAACCAATCAATTCACCCACCGGCATTCCCGAGATCCAACCAAAGCAAACAGATTCCAATTCGGAGAAACAAACAACGAGAATTAATAAAAGAATACAAATTAGATGAACAGTATAAAATCGATAACCTCGAGACGCCTTCGTAACCTTGTCCTTGATTATGTTGACCTCGTCCACCAGAGCCACCTCCCTGAACAAAGCCAAAAGCTGCGCCTCCGTCATGTGCCTCGGCACCTGCCCCACAAACAGCTTCAATCTCTCCCCTTCGCCGCCATTCCCACCTCCTCCTCCACTCTTCTCCTCTCCTTCCCCCGCCATTCCCTACTCTCTCTCTTCCGCCTGGTTAACTCCTCGTTGGCTTCGGTGCAGTTGTTGAATTAAAGAATAATGATAACATAAAAGACCAGTAGTAATATTTAATGCGGGTAAAGACAATTGGGGGGAACGGAGGTTTTATAATTTGGGATCAAAATTTGCCCTCGAGAACTTCAAGCGAAGATTGGCTCCACCCACGATGTTAGATTCACCCTCTTTTACTTGGAAGATCTACCCCACGATCATGATTTTATAACTAACTACTAATGATGCTTTTGATAATAATCGTGCGCGGCATACTTTGGTGGTTATGAGCCCATCGCCTCCCAAATGTACCGATGGCTTTTTTTTTTTTTTAATAAGATGGTTGGAATGGGAAAATTATTATGTTTGACGTCCGGATTCGTCTATAGGTGAATACGGATGCGCCACATCACTCAGACACCGGTGCGTCCAAGTGGGTCCGGGTGACGTGGCGCATCCGGATTCGTCTCCGAACGGTTCGGACGTTGGACGTAATAATTTGTCGTTGGAATGATAGTCATATTAGGGTCCTTTTATTGGTGGTGGCAATCGGGGTGGGGTGGCCTGTGGCGGTGGTGGTGGAAGCTGCGACGATAATGACAGTAGGAAATGAAGTTCTGTTGTATTTATAGATTGTTTAGATCGGTTGAATTTCAAATACATAAAAAATGAACTGGACGGTGAATTATTTCAAATACCGCAAAACTTTACATTTAATATAAATCGGTTGTCCTTTGATGTTGAGTACCCACCCATACCCACTCACGATGTCATGAGCGTACCCATACCCACCCATGCCCATTGGGTATGGGTAGGTACATGGGTGGGTGTGGATATGGGTACCTAATGCAGGGCTCTGTTGGAATGGGAAAATTATTATGTTCGACGTCCGGATTCGTCTATAGGTGAATACAGATGCGTCACATCACTCAGACACCGGTGCGTCCAAATGGGTCTGGGTGACGTGGCGCATCCGGATTCGCCTCCGGACGGTTCGGACGTTGGACGTAATAATTTGTCTTTGGAATGATAGTCATATTAGGGTCCTTTTTATTGGTGGTGGTGATTGGAATGGGGTGATTTGTGGTGGTGGTAGTGGCGGCTGCGACGATAATGGCGGTAGGCAATGAAGTTTCGTTGTATTTATAGATTGTTTATATCGGTTGAATTTCAAATACATCAAAAATGAACTAGATGGTGAATTATTTCATTGTATTTGGTTTACTTCAAGCGGAACACTAGTATTTTGCAAGCCCCTGCACTTGGAGAAATTATTAGGTGCGGCACCAGATGGTCCGGAGGCCAATCAGGACACGCCACATCATTAGAAACACAACGGTACACAGTATATGCCACATCCTGATTAGCCTCCAAATGACATCCGGTGAACAATTTTCTCAAAGCAGGATTAAATTTGGATAATAATTACCCTAAAACCATTAGGAGAAAATTAGAGCTTCAAAGTAGGATGAAATAATTTTCAAATCAGTCCCCCGAAATGGAGTGAGTCAAATCTTCTTCAAGAGGCTATGCCGCAAAGATTGGAAATCTTTCATGTCACTCAAGTCTCATTTAATTAGGAGGTGAAACTATAACCTATAAAAAAAGAATTGAGTAATGTGAATTTCTCGCACAATTTATCCTATAAAGGGCAATTTGTTACTCTTTATGAGTGAGTGTTAGAGTATGTAATGTGATATGAACTGTCTATAAATTGAGAAATTATTGTGTACGGAATTCGAATGCATTCGGATTCCAATCACCATGCGCCACGTCACTGGATGCACTGGGCCCCGGAGTGCATCCGCTTACGTGGCAAGCGGTGATTGGAATCCGCATTCGGATTCCGCACACAATAATTTCTCCTATAAATGGTAGTGTTTTGTTGAATCCCACATAAAGAGAAATTACATATCGCCTATATAATACATAGGAATATTTCTCTTAAGAGAAAGAAAAAAAAAAGAGTGAAAAAAAAAATTAAAAAGTTAATAAGAAAAAAAGTTCTCAAATACCATTGGTGCCGGCTGGCTAGCTTGGCCTAATCTAGTCCTGATCTTTGGTCTGGACATGTCTTTTTTGCATTATTTAGGCTCTCAAAACAGTTTGTTGACATTTCATACATAATTTTAGCATTTTTGGAGCCCAATGGATTATCTACTATCACATTCAGGCATAGTTGAAGAGTTTAGAGTAAAATTTTACAATAATTTTTACTTTATTCAATGCTTTGAGCTCATTGAAAGTTAGCATTATAATTAAAGAATTTTTTTTTTTTAAGTTTGCGGCCCCTATGGGAGATCCACGTTAATATTTAGGAAGCTGTCATAATTGCTGCACATTTTTTCTAAGTCTAAATATATATTTTTGAATGATAAAAGCCTCGAGATTTGAAAATAGAGGGCAAATTATAGTTCTCCAAGAAATTCGCTTAATTATGACAAATTTTGATACAATATTTAAATTTTTGCATTAGAAAGTTGTGTAAGTTAAAAAATTTAGTGCATTTTTTAGTGATTACCGATTCACCGTCAAGAATTGTCGCTAACATCGTCTGACTTCATTCATCTGATTATTATTGTCGGACTTCTAACATCCAATAATTATTGAATTTCAGCTATGAACTTGTAGACACCCACATAATACAATCACTACAACTAGATTTAAATAATTATTCTCTATTATATAATCACGTCTTCTTCAACTATGAAGAAAAGTATAGTATTGTTCCTATAACTATATTGTTGATTATTGTAAATGGGTTAGGCTTTATGCTTTTCCTTTTTTGAATTTTCCACGTATAAAAACTTGTTCACTTAATCTTATATCTATGCATGCTGAATATTTATACAAAGCTAAGATATTATACACTCTCTCTATTCCCACAAATTTTCTAGCATATAACAAGTTTAATAGATGGTATCTCTCAGCTTATCATGAACTAACTTTATTTTTTGCTCTACAACAATGTATTGGAAAAAAATATTTGCCTAAGTAGACTCTACATAAATACAACCCAATAGTAAATCTATATACAAATATAGATATATAAAAACAAAATATGATCATAAGGTATAAGCATGAGCTCTTACTACTCTTGGTCCTTGCATCTTTAATTCTTGGTTCCAAGGGTACTTATCTAGTTCTTGATTATGCATACATTAATTCATTTATTAGGCTTTTCAAAACTAGAAACATATAAGAATTTACTAATAATTTTAATTAGCACTATCATAGTAGTGTGTTTATTTGTGTTGACCCGAATTAAACATGGTAAGATGTCTAAATTCATTTAGCACTCATTGAAATTTAAGAAAGTGTCTATTGTCATTCTATACTTAGTCTAGCAAGAAAAAGATTTCAGTTAAATTTAGAAAATAAAATATTATAAGCAAAAAAATTCTCCTTAAAGCATTACGACACTGTAATATTGACGCTACCATTTATGTTAGTTGGGCATCTGAAGAAGTAGCGAAATAGTGCTATGGAAAGGAGGGTTGTGGTGCTGATTTTTTTTTATTTTTTTTAATATCTAAAAACTCCTTTGTGAGCACTATGTCATTGAGAAGGGGGTGTTTCGGCACTGACCATTAAGCTCTATGTCTAGGCATTTGAAAACTTTCAGTGGGAGTGTTCTAGCGCTGCAGTGTTGGATATATAAATATCAAAAATGATTTATGAAAATTATTTATCATTTTATGTATTCGATTGGAGAGAAAAAAAGAGGGATTTAAGAGAGAGAGAGAGAGAGAGAGAGAGAGAGAGAGAGAGAGGTTGCATTTAGAGGTCTTGGAGCCAATTTTATCCGACTGGCCAGTTGGGAAAGTGAGGTAGGTTACCAGTACCCTCCTTCAGATTTTAGTTTCATCACTTTTATGGGTATTTTTTGTATTTTATTTTATTTGAGTTATACAAACACAAATTTATGAAAAGTTAACAAGTTTTCTGCTTGTAACTTTTGTTCTACGGTAAAATAGACAATTATTGTCATGTTGACAAGAAAAATGTAAATTTTCACAGGTACTTTGGGCTACACACTATTTTAAGTTTTAAATGGGCACGTCGATATTTAAAAAAAAAAAACCACATAACAATACATGCATTAGAACAGTATTGTGAATATTATCCATGAATTATTTTTCTAAGTTATCATTGTTGAATGTTTGCACATGTTTATCTATGCATATTGCAATTCTATTGTATCTATGAAATTTCATGTATTGATCATTTGTCATGTTAAATGTTTCCCATATAGGTTGAATATATTGATGCTTCTATATATATTCATGTTATGAGATTGATGTTTTATATTCATTTTGTTGGAGGATATGTGGAGGTGAAGGGAAAAAGGAGGAAGTGTATGTGGCAATCATATACATTTATGTGCAATGCAAGTGAATTTATAAGGGCATGTGCACATATATATAATTTTTTCATCTATGTGTTTGATATGCCTGAACATATTTGAGATAATCAAGTGGAGTTTAAGTGAAAGTGAAGTTATGAGGAGCTTGAAAATATATACAAGTGAAGGTATAAAGGGAAGTGGAAGTATAAGGAGGCATATGAAAAATGGGAGGCATAAGTGTGGAGATACAATGAGGCATCAGAAGATCTTCATGTGTTTTGCATTAATATATTAATTGTTAAGTTCTGTTATGCTTTTAATTTTTGATATTATGTTCAAGTGAATACTCATGTTATCTCTATTGACATGTTCTTATTGTCATTTGACATGTGACACTAATTATGTCGATATAGTTACATTTGTAATGACATCTAATACAAATATCAATGTTGCCTTAATTTTTACAACATTCAATCGTTAAACAAATTTATGTTAATGCAAATATAATTTTTTTAGAAGTTGTGTGTAGCCTACTAAGCAAGTGTTGTTCAACCATGTTACGAGTAATAACCTAATAATTATGAAAATAAATTTAAAATAAAAATATGAAATTCTACTTGAATTGTGTCGCTACAGTGTTTTGCCTGTTAGCGCTGCAGTGTTGTGCATGAGAGAACAGCGGTGCCAAAAATCTTTGCCGCAGAGTTAAACGCTCAATTATATAATAATTTTGGATTTAACATGCAGCTGGGTCATGGTGCCACAACGTTGAGCATTGAAATAAGTTTTTTATATATTTTTTTCTCTCCACTCAACCCTCTCTCTCTCTCTCTCTCTCTCTCTCTCTCTCTCTCTCTCTCTCTCTCTCTCATA